TACAGCCCCAGTGGGCCTAGGCCTACCTCCATGAACTTCTCCGTTCACTTCGGTTTTTCTAGATCTTACGCGTATGGTAGGACTCCTTGGGCGAGTGATCAGCTCATCACAAGGCCTCTACCTGTAAAGAAACACAGAAAAACGCACACAAACATCCATGCCCTGAGTTGGATTCGAACCCACAATCCTGGCTTCCAAGCGAGCGAAGACAATGCATGCCTTAGACCGCTCGGCTACCATGACCGGCATAAGAAAGCCACTTAGCTCAGGCTATTTTAATAGCCTGTGGAAGTCAATTGAGAAGGCAATAATAAAACTGGGCTTTGCTTGAAGATCCGTACAACACACTGAGTATCAATCTCGATATAAATGTTCTGCCGAATTTGATGTTCTCTCAGCAGTGGCTATGAACACTTCTGGCATCTAGGATATAACATCATTTAGTCTAGTGAAGGTCAGTCATCATTATGGGGGAACACCTTGCTTACCTCTTCAGGATCCAAGAGTAATCCAAGGAAGAAACCAGAATGAAGCAGGCAGGAAGCAGAGCTGAAGATGGAGGTGTTGTGTTCTTCTGAGATGTCAGTTGACTATCACTGGACTATTTGGCGTTGTATCCCAGAAGACAAAAAATGTTCAGTCTAAGTTTGGTTCATGAACTTCTTGAAGATGATGCAGATAGCAACCAGCAATTTTCTGAACTTCTCATATTGCCATGAAAAAATGTGGTATGATGTAGCAAATTTTGAACTGTCTCGTCACATTAACAGATGCAACATTGTCAATGAACCTTACCGCCATCTTTGAGCCGATTATCTAGATAATGTGAGACCCTCAACATCTTACAACCCTATGGGCCTTCACGGCCTGGTACAGGGATAGCTTAACTTTGCTTTACTTTTTTACATTGTCAGTGAAACTCTTGAACCAACATAAAGTATCTATATGGAGTGCTGTTTCTCAGTTGGTTTTAAGGAACAGTAACTCATTGGAACTGCTTGCAGACTCTGAATGTGTGGGGTACCTGGACTACAGTCATATGCTAACTTCAGAGACTTGTGCTTCTTGCAAGATGAAGCACATACACATTTTGCAAATACTTCTCACTCTTTTTTTTTAATTAAACTGTTCTTCTTGTAGAATGATAAGGAAGAGGATGCATTGACTAGTGGCTATGATCTCCAAATAAGATATACATGAATAAATCTGTGAATATGACTGAGCTGTTAGAGTACATTGAGGATATGTTACACAGTCTTGATGAAGACACAGAGCTTTGCAAAAAGAAGTGATGACGTGTTAGTAACAACAGCAGTATGCAAGTAATCATCCATAACTCATAAACAAATGTTGATGAATCCCAGAAGACATTATCATCCTCCAATATAAGACGAGCATGATGATGATTGAAACACAAAGCAGAAATAAGACCAATGTTAGTACAGTGATATTGGATTCATAATGTGTGAAAAAATTGTTGTGTTGATGGCCAAAATACCACAGTAGATAAGATCACAGTTTGGTGGAGACAGATCATGTTCCTCTCTATGCACTTACAGGGTGGCGGGTGTCTGCTGAGCAGCAGATATCAGACATGGAGCTGCAGAAGCTGAAGAGTGGAGGAGATGGACGTCAATCCAAGGGACAGATCCCCAATCCCACACTGGAAAACATGAAAGAAGCTGCTTACAGCATATATGAACAGTACCTCTCAGAAAAGGTGAAGTTACATTGCAGGACGGAAAGTCAGTCTGCAAGAAAAGTGTGTTTCCATGATCTCATTCTGATTTTTTATTAAGTTTCATTTATGTATATTCATCATCATATACCGTCAAACAGAACAGTTGATAATAACACTTCATATGTTATTAGTTCATTATTCCTACTGCATGTTCAAGTTCCATTAAACCAACATCATGTAGTTAATCAGTACATAGATTGCAAGGGTAACAGCTAGTTGCAACCAGTTAAGTAGATATTAACTAGATTATTGGTGTTGTATCCAATATTGATAATTAGAAGATATTTAATTATTAGGTATTTGTTAATTTCAAATAAATTGCGTAGGAAAAAGTATTTTAAAATGTAAGTTATTATGGTAAAACAGATTAAACAGTGTTATTAAAATGTCTGTGACTTTCTATGTGCATGCATGAATCACCTTCAAAGTAGTCACCTTGGGAGCGCATACACCGATCCCAGCGTTTCTGCCACTTTTCAAATGCATCCTGGAAGTCTTTCTTTGTTAGGGTGTTTATTACCGTCTACGTTTCCACTTGAATTTCCTCAACTGTATCAAATCTTTGCCCCTTCAACTTGATTTTCATCTTGGGGAAGAGAAAGAAGTCGCATGGAGCTAAGTCTGGCGAGTACAGTGGGTGGGGAACAACTGCCATCTTGTTTTTAGCCAAAAATTCTTGCACAATGTAAGCCGTATGCGGTCGTGCGTTGTCATGGTGGAGTACCCAGTCGTTCGTGCACCATTTCTCTGGACGTTTTCTCCTCATGTCCTCCCTCAAACACCTTAGAACATCGCAGTAGAACTCTTTATTGACTGTCTGACCAGGAAGGACGAACTCCTTATGAACAATCCCGTCAGTATAAAAACAACAGATCAACATGGACTTAATGTTGCTCTTGACTTGTCGAGCTTTTTTTGGCCGCGGTGAAGAAGGGCTCTTCCATTGCGATGATTGCTGCTTGCTTTCAGGGTCATAGCCATAAAGCCAACTTTCGTCACCAGTGACAACCTTTGAAAGAAAGTTTGGATCCTCTTGAAGCTGTTGCTGAAGTTCCCTGCAGAATTCCAAGCGATGCTGCTTCTGTTCATTTGCAGCAGTCGTGGCACAAACTTCGCTGCAGTCCTCCTCATATTCAGTTCCTCTGACAAAATTCGTTGACATATACCATAACTTAGTCCCAAGGTGTTACAGAGGTCTTGGATGGTCAGTCTACGATCTTGCAGAATCAGATCCCTAACTTTCGCGACATCTTCTGGTGTTTTGCCCGTTGACGGCCGTCCCGAACGTTCGTCATCATCAGTCACTGTTCAGCCATTTTTAAAACACTTATACCAGTTGTAAGTTTGTGTCTGGCCTAAACTGTTTTCACCAAAAGCTTGCTTCAACATTTGGTGAGTTTCTGCAGCGGTTTTCCCAAGTTTGAAACAAAACTTTGTACAGACATGCTGCTCTCTCAGGTCAGCCATCGCAAAACTGCAAACTCACGGAAACACAACAATGGAAATACGTCCACCAACAATAAACCCAACCACTCAACTCGATGCCGCTTGCCACACTGATTCAAGAAGGATGTGTGAGGAGACACCTAGTGGTATTTCAATGTACTCATAACCATTTGCGCAAAATTCAAAATTCGGTAACTTTTGGATTTCCCCACGTATTTCAGCTAATAGTAATCATTGAAGAAAGCAGTCTTCTGGGATTTGGCACTGTGTATATGTGGTGTTAACCGACGTTTCGGAGGAACGTATCGCCTCCATCTTCAGGGTAGAAGAAAAAATATAAGAAATCTGCAAGCGGAGAGACTGTGAGAACCGGTAAAAACAGTCTGCTTTCATAGTCACCGCCGTGAAAGCCTCAAATCTTAAATAGTAATCATTTCTCATCATTTCATGTTTCCATATGATGTTGGTCTAGGAAGTACCTTATAAATTCTGATTCTCATATAAGGCTGCTCTTACATTAAAACTGAATGTTGGCTTCAAGATCTGTTAATGTACCTAGGGTTTTTATGTAACTGATTTTCATTCAGATATGTTTCATCTTCATAAGACATAGATAAGATTACGTAAAACAAAACAGAACATAAAAATGCTTGTGTAGAGTTGTTTACTGCTTTGCAGCCAGTTTTACTGTCTTCATTATACATAAACTACTTGCATAAACAGCTCATTGTTAATGTTGTATTTTCTACAATCAGGGATAATTGCCAATGACAGGCATTTGCTGCTGGTATTGTTTGCATATATTTCATCTTCATTGAAATTTGATGAAATTGCAGGACCATAATGAGGGCTGTGTTCTTGTGAATGTAAAAGTTTCCACCCTATTAACATTCAAATTTATATTGTTACAGGCATCTCCCAGACTGAAACTAGATGAGATGGTTGTAAAAAAACTTGTGTTTAGGATACGTAGTGAGATTCCCAATGAAACATGGTTTGATGAAGTTCAGGCTACTGTCTATGAGAAGTTACAGGTATGTCATAACATTGTTATGTTTACTAGGCTCTTTGCCCTGAAAACTGAAAGAGAGATAAATTAAATGTTTAACTATTTGCCATTGAAGTTTTCAGCCTTGTTTTTAGACTGGAAATTATCAGTATGTAATTTCAGTAGACTGAAAAATTGTCATCTATATGGTTTATGGCTGTAAACAATTTTTCCAATGGTTTAGTTCATCTGTTCTGTGTGACACACAGATGTATGAGGGTGGTTCAAGGTTGTCTTGGACTTTATTTTCTTCTGGAAAACATGTGCACCAGAAGAATAAAATTTTTTATGAACAGTTGGTGGCAACACTGCATTCACTGCCTGGCAGTTGGCCATGTGCTCTGCTTCTGTACATGGGAGCTAGTACAAGATGTCATCAGATCTTGTCACTCTCAGTGTAGAACAGCACTGTCAAATTCCTACTGAAAGAGAAAGTGAAACATTTAATGCACAGTATTACAGTACTCAGGATTACTGGTCTTTTGGACTTTGCCCATTTTCCCGTATTCTCACTAATTTCTAGAATACTGCACAATGAACATCTGAAAACCCAGTAATCTTGAGTGTTATACACCATCAGAACCCTTTAGAATCTGCTAGCATTAGAGTAACTTGTTTTGCATGTTAAGCTGCAGTGCATATCATTCTTGCTTTGACCCTATCATTGAGAGGGGCATGGCCCCTCCTATGGTGCTCTGAGTGCAGAAATGGATTCTTTAATCTCACTGGATGGATAACATAACTTGAGTTGTTGTGGGTTTGTGTTCTGTGCAGAATGAGGAGCGCTTTTTGCCAGGTTTCCGAGGCAGTGTATCTTATGTGAGGCTTTTGGCAGAACTGGATTTACTGAAGGATCCTTCTTCCCGCAGTGATGAGGAAGATTCTCAGTCTTTAGATGAGATAAGTCTTTCTGACAATATAAGCTTGTCATCATTGGATGCTGATGACACAGTGCTGGAAGGTGGCACAGGTATGAACTGGAACTTGCTGTCTCTAATACTGTTAACATTTCTGTGCTGATCTTTGCCTTAGATGTCTTATTTTGAAGAAAGCAGTCTTCAGGGATATGGCATTGTATAAATGTTGTGTTAACCAACGTTTCAGAGGAACATGTCGCCTTTATCTTCAGGGTAGGAGAAAAAAGAAAATCCGCAAGCAAAGAACCAGCATGAGCAGGTGCAAATAGACTAATGTCAAGAACAAACTGAGCTGTATAATAGCAGGAAGAGATGGGAGAGGGGCTACATGGGAAATCAGCAGAGAGGAGATGGGAAGGGTCTGGCAAGGTGGGCCAGCAGGTAGCAGGCTACAGCAGGTATAGAATATTGTGTCGAGGGAGGAAGGCAAGGTTAATGGAAGGGCCCTGCTCATGCTGGTTCTTTGCTTGCGGATTTTCTTCTACCCTGAAGATGGTGGCGATACGTTCCTCCGAAATGTCAGTTAACACAACATCTACATGGTGCCATATCCCAGAAAACTGCTTTCTTCATAGTCACCGCCATGAAAACCTCAAATCTTACATGTCTTATTTTGTTTATGTTGTTGTGTTTTTGTTTGTGTATATGTCTGTCTCCCCTGATAACACTGCAGTTAGATGGTCAAGTTTTTCTGTAACCCACTGTAGAGTGTCATGCCATTTGAGAAAAATGTACATCTGCAATTTTTAAATCTCAGTTTTTGTAGATATTAATGTAACACCTGTGTGAACTCCTCAGATCCAGTTATATTTGTACCTTAACCTGCAGAGTCATGAAACGTTTGAAGATAACACATTTTCGAAAACTGTATAACTTTTGTTAAGATAACTTCATTGCAAGATGGCAGCTCAACATTTGCTTATTGTATTTCCCAGTTTATAAGACACATAATGGTTTAGGAAGGAGATAATAAGAATTTTTTCATTGTTTTCTTAATTTCTTGTTTGATAACTAACATTTATTGTTTAATAATTAATTGTAACAAAATTTGTGTTTGTTTATTTATAAATTACTTCATTATAACATTTGGTTAACAAAAACCCGAGAGAACTCTTTCAGTCTCTGAAGTTACTATAACAAGGAACAGCAAGTATCTGACCTTCCTTACCATGACATTTTGTCAGCCATCAACCAAGGGAAAAGATTGATTCAAGCTGCAATCCAAGAAAAGGGGGTTCTATTCACTGTTTATTCTGATAAGCATTGTACTTGAATTATAAACAAAATGTTTATTTTTAATGTTGAAAATAAAAATATTATGTAGTGTAATGAACCAACCAAACTGAATATCACTTTCATACCCTTTCTTAGAGATGTTCTGCGCAGCTTGTATGAGTTTCATTCAAGTCCATGAGATAATAATTTTTGCCATTTTTTAAACATTTTTTGTGTCAATACACAATATACAGTACTGTCTGGTCCTTGCAAAAGATTTGCATATGAATGAATGTGCTTTTCTTGAAACTGTCATGACTGTTACTGTTGCTGCTGTGTTTGCCATTGTTTTCTGCATTTTGAAGTATTTGTCATACCTCAAAAGTATGGGTATGTGGCACCCTCCAGTCCTATAACATTCATGACAAATTACATCAAAACCATTTAGCGGTTTTTATTGAGACCTGTGGATGGCATGACATATGTGACCTCCGGTATGTGGTCTTTTTATGTTCTTTAGGCAAGGAACTTAAAATACCCAGATAAAACATAATTCTATATGTAATGTATATATTTGTATGAAGTTTCTTGTTGCTTGTTGAAAGCTTTGGAAATATTGTTTAACTTATACACATTTCCATTCATGTACATAAGCTTGATGCATTTTCATGCCTAGAAATAATTTAAGTGAGAATATTTTGCATCCAGCTGCTAGCACTGACAGCCCTGTCAGTAGCACACCAGATAATTCAGTGACAGCAGGTAATCTCAGTGGGGAGAGTAATGCAGCCAGGCAGCAGCAGCGGCAGCAGGGACCTTTCCGCTTACAGGCTGAGATCATAGAAACAGGTACACCAATTTCTGAAAGGTATTGTTCAGTTAGTTCAGTGGCAATATCAAGTGAGATCTTTGGTTTACAGCCTGTTTCTGATTCTTCTTTCCTGAGATGTTTTAACTGGTGCTCATTTAGAGAAGAAAGTTTGTTATCGTGCTCAGAAGAACTAGATTGGATAATGTACAGAGTTGCTTAAAAGTCCTTGAACAAAATAAATATTAATAAAATATAAACCATAGACAGACAGCACACATATTTTATTAATGCCATTAGATGCCCACATGAAATAATTTTGTACACTTAAATGTGGCCACCCGTTGTTGCTTACAGCAGTTCTGGTCAAGTGTGGCTCATATTCTCTGTCGACTGTTGCAATGGTAACCTTGATTCATGTCTTCAGATTCTGAAGTCCCATCACCTCATCTCATCTCATTTATTTACATTCCATAAATCCACTACATATAGGATAAGGAATTAGTCATTGATAGTACAAATAACACTACATAGAAATAACAATATAAGATTCATTACATTATTCAGTACCATAATAGATCACAGTTAATTATTGGAGTCAAATTTACAATCAAAGTATTCTTCCAAGGAATAAAACGAGTTCATCAACAAAAATCTTCTTAAGACAATTTTAAATTGTTTAACATCTTGAGCCAAGTTCCTTATATTAGGAGGAAGCCAATTAAAAACCTTAATTCCATGATAGTACACTCCTTTCTGAAATACAGTCAACTTACATATAGGATAATGGCATTTATGATTATATCTTGTATTCCTATTATATAACTCAGAATTTAACTTAAATTGATCTTTATTATTAACCACGAACATTGCAAGAGAAAATATATACTGAGATTGAAGGGGTAAAATTTCCAGTTCCCTGAACAATTCCCTACATGAATCTCTGTTCCCAGCGTTCATTATAATTCTAATCGCCCTTTTTTGAAACCTAAAGATATGTATACTATAAGGGGAATTACCCCAAAAAACCAAACCATAGGTCATAATTGAATGGAAGTAAGAAAAGTAAATCATTCTTAATGTACCCTGAGACATGTAAGATTTTAGGGCTCTAATCATGTAACATGCAGAGCCCAATCTAGACATTAACCAATCCCCATGGTCATTCCAAGACAATGTGTTATCAATAATAAGCCCCAGAAACTTAGTATTTGTAGTGTTAACAATCCGATCATCATCAATGTGAATAGCCATCGGCTGGCGGTTCTTAGTCAAAAATTCGATAAAATGTGTTTTCTTGAAATTTAATGTCAATAAATTATCTTGAAACCAATCATTTATGTTTTTAAATATTAAAGAAGCCTTGAATTCATAATCAGTAGACCTAGGGTTAGTGATCCACCGACTTGGGAATTATTCTTTCAGGTAATCATATGCAATTTTACCCCTATATGTAAGGGCACCATTATACAGGAAGACCAGTGCAGGTTTGAGATCTTTGCTTGGGGCACTGCAAACAGCTGAAGCATTTTTAGATAATGTTCCTTTGTTACTGTCTGTTCAGATCAGAATAAAAGGTGCAGTAACACTCTAACATAACCTACAGTACACACAGACTTTAGGCCTGTCCCAGATGTGTTAAGTAACATGACATGGGTTCTGTGAATTGCAAATCCTCACATTGTCAGTTGCAGTTCTTGGCAGCAGCGTTTGTTGACTCAGCAAGACTACATTGAAAAATTTCCCTAATATGTCCAAAGTTCTCTTCACCTGTTTTTGACTGACCACTTCTTTTCCAATGAAGAACGTTTCTGGTTGCTAAGAATTTCTTTTGACGTGCCCTGTTATTTGATGGTGGGATCTTTCTGAAATATGTACAGCAATTTTGTTGCATTGAACATCTGATTCTGTTTTGAAGAACAAACCAGCACACCCAGTTCTCATGTGGAGTTGCCATTTTAGCGTCTTTTCATGTGATGCCCAGCGTGCTTTGCATTATAGACCTCTAGGGGCAGTATGGAAAACTTTGTCTGCCTGTCTAACAGATTAAGCTACACATTTTTGCTGTGTATTGTGATTTTTATTTATCTTTGATTTGTTCAAGAACTTTTGGACCATCATTTATATTGCAAATATTTGTTAATGGAATACCAACAAACATATTTTGAACTGAGGGAGTTGAACTAAGTGAAGACTGGGGGAAATTATGTAAGATCTGTTTGCTATTCTTGTAATGTGATCAAGGTAGCTAATCAAGGAGTTATGATGGGCTGGACATGTAAGTCAGTTGGGAGAACCAAGAGATATGCCCAGAAAGTTAGTGTGAAACCTCTTGTATAGCAGTCATTTGAAAAATTAAGGAAAAGATGGGATGATGTTAGAATGGATTTTAAGTGAACAGATTCTTGTAAAGTTGACTAGATTGACTAGTTCAAGATTGGGTTAAGGGCTTTAATGATTGTATCATTGAACCTTCTGTTTAGAGGGGTAGTATTAAGTATAGGTACATGAGATTTTAGATTCTTATAGTGATGAATATGAAGATTGCTGTCTTCTGAGGTGTGACATCATGCAGTCTGGCAGAGAAGTATCAGTGTTTAGAGGAATCTGCTCCCTTCATCTTCACAATAGTAGGGGTACCATTTTGCTAGACTGTATGGAGCCACATTCCTGAAGGTAGTAATCTCTAGTAATTGACTAATTTGTTAATTAGGAAGGTGATAAATGAGTGATCATAGGATGAAAAATTAAATTTGTTTATCTGTTATGAAACTGTCTGTAGACCCGGTTTTGCTGTGCAGTGTAGTTACTGAAGTTAGTGACACTGAGTTGTGCTAAGATGGATTAACTGAACTGCATGTTTTCATGTACTATTGTGTCTTCAGTCTTGCCAATAGACTTTTTGCTTGCAGGTGTGGTTAATGACAGGGGAAAGACGTATGGCATCTATGCAGTGTCAGTGGCAAAACATTATGAAACTGGCTATTCAGAGAAGTGGCATGTATATAGAAGATATTCAGACTTCCATGACCTGCACCAGAAAGTTAAGGACAAGGTGAGCATGGCAAGCATGATTATAATGGTGAGGCATAATCTTTAAGATTCTGTCATCATTGTCCAGCCCACTCTTAGACCTAACTGTTGTGTTACAGATAACAAAAAACAGGATTAAGACATTTCTAGAGGTCTTTTTTTTTCTGCTTTCTTTCATTTTTTTTTGGGAATGCAGTCACAGCATATTCATTCAGAGTGTTCTTTCTGGATTTCCCTATTCAAATAAATACATCCCCATGCTCATGCTCCATAACATGAAGGAAGTGCGGCTTCATGCATTAACCTCAGCATTGAGTGGAATACTCCATGACTTTACCCCTGTGCTGACCACTAGTAGGCCCCAAGAATGAGTCAGGATTTGGTGGTAAAGAGAAAAACTGCTTACTGGCTGGGAGTCCATCCCATAACAGCCATGATAGATGATTTTCATAAAAATTTGATCTAAGAATGTTTTACTTGAACATGTTGTGTTTTTCTGTTTTATATGTTTGGAACCCAATTTAAAGTTCCTCTTTTTTAAGGTTTTAAGGTTTTACTTGAACATGTTGTGTTTTTCTGTTTTATATGTTTGGAACCCAATTTAAAGTTCCTCTTTTTTAAGGTTTTCCCTCATGTAACATTCAAGTTCAGTAATGCCAACTCATTAAACCCAGAGTTATATTTTTTCCCCTCTTGCTCCCACTTTGGAGCATAGGTCTGATTTCTCAGTAGCGTTACATTACATCCATTTAAAATATTTCTCAGTTTAGTGTTTTAATCCAATAGTCCCTGAAGAAACTTTAAATAGGGGTTTTACTGTATCATACAGTCATTCACAACCAGTGCTTGTATAATAACTGTTGAAAGATTATATATGTTTTCTTGTCATTTGCACATTTGCTCATGTCAGCCTTTAGAAGGTCATTGTCAGGCCATTTGTATGTAGGGTAATTTTTATTCCTGAAAGCATTTAATTTTGTTATAAAATTAAAGCAATCCATACAAAGCTCATTAATTTTGCATTTAAATTGACTATGGCCTTAGGAAATACAGTCTTCAGTGTCCAACATGTTTGATGTGTTCTTGCTGTGAGAAGGCATGTCAGAGCTGAGTGAAGAAATCCTTTGGTTCCCATTGTGAAGACTCTGTAGAGATTCTAAGTACCTCNCGGTAAAAGCAGACTCCGAAACGTCGGTTAACACCACATATACACGGTGCCAAATCCCAGAAGACTGCTTTCTTCAAAGTCACCGCCGTGAAAGCCTCAAATCTTACAAGAAATCCTTTGGTTCCCATTGTGAAGATTCTGTAGAGATTCTAAGTACCTCTTGCTGTATTGTTTTGTTTAAGTCATCATTTTGTGTTTGTATCATTATTTTTCAAGGGTTAGTGTTGAACATTCCATCTGTGAGATATCCCCATAGGAAAAGGTCACATGGATTTAAATCTGATGAAACAAGTGGCCACTCAAAACTTCTGCCTTGGACATGTGTAGGATTTGAGGTTCTCACAGCAGTGGTGATGAAGAGTTCTATGTTCTTTGAAAGTGTAGTGCATTGAAAGTGAACTGATATTTTGGAAGAACATGTTGCCTCCATCTTCAGGGTCAAAAAATGAGCCAAGCAAGAAAACAGTGGCTTATTCCTTGACCCTGAAGATGGAGGCAATGTGTCCCCCTGAAATGTCAGTTGACTTTCAGCAGACTACACTTCATTATATCGCAGAAGATGGAACTCTTCATGAGGAAGTCTGTTTGAAAGCACTGTTGTTTCCAAATGTTTCCTTTAAAAAAATCCAACACAGTACCACCTCTGAAGCCTGGTTCCTTCTTGTTGGAACCAGGCCTTACCCATGTCAACACCATGACCAATGGGAAAGTGACAGAGTCATTCTGCAAAACATTGAAGTAAATCTGAGAACTGACTATGTCTTTGATAGATGCAAGTCCGAATGTGTCATTACTGGAAAGAGTACACTATGCTGTAACTTGTTGAGGATGTAAGGTAACAGTAACAGTGTGTTGATTTTGTAAAACCCAGTAATGAACATTCTATTTGTTCAGATAACCATCTAAATAAGAATGGGCTTCATGAGAAAACTGTATCTTATTTAAAATGTCTGCCTCATTCTTTAAAAAGTCTGACAGGCCATTGCAAAACACAAAAAGTCTGTGTTTCCCTAAGTCACTTAAATGTTGGGATAAATTTATCTTGTAAGGATATGTCGAGAAGTTAGATTGGTAAGTTTCTCTCACTGTTCAGTAGCTTGTATTAATTTGTTGTGAAAGATACTGAAGGCTATTCTCAGGACTCTTTTA